TGGAGCGCGTCCTCGGCACGCACATCCTTCGGTGCCAGCCCTGCTGCAGCGCCGGCAGCGTGGGCCCTTCCGGGGCGGTGGGACGGCTGCTGCTGTCATTCCGGTGTCCCCGGTGTGGCTGCATGTCAGCGCATTGTGCTCTGAGAGCTTGCGGGGTCCTTAAAAAAGCCTAAACAAAACAACACATTATCTTAGCCTACCAGAGGATATGATAAAACAAACAGTGTTCATACAGTCTGGAATGCATGCGGCCAAGGTGTTGATGCCAGGGCAGAACAAAGGTTTTGTGGGGAGGTGAGAAGTTTCACTTCAGGCTATCACAGCTGTGAGCAGAATGTGTCTCCAGTATTAAATGTTCAGGAAGTGAGCAATTCACTGAGTCTTTCTGCAGCTGCTTTTGTTTTAGTTGTGAAAGGCTGGCTGTTATTCTTGCCACTTGTCCCGTTGAACTTCCCTGCTTGACATCACTAGAAGCAAGAAGGTGGCCATGCCAGGGCTCTGAGATTACAGGTCTCTTCATCCATTTATTGGCTGATGTTTTCCTTTGTAACTACAGGAAACATCAAAGGTTATGATCAGTGGTACAAGTAGATGGTTTATGGCTAAAAGCTGCAAAACCTCTAGAGTGTGAATTTAACTTGGACAGTGATCAACTTGAGGTTGATTCTGAATAGGTAAAAATGTTTTTTTTTTGGGGGGTTTTGATAGTCAGAAAATCTGCCTGAAACTGGCAAGCACTGTGCACTGCTGCCCTAAATAATTTAGAATCAACTGAACCACAAAAAGTAGGTGGAAGAGCAGAATCCCAGGGTTTGTAAATGACATTTGGGAGCTGTTGGAGAAATAGCAGTGAAACTATTATTTTGCTAATCAACCTTAGTAGATGCAAGTTGAGGGCTAGACTAGGACAGCAGTTGAAATTACAGCATTCGCAGGTCAAACTTCTCCAGCTCTTAATGCTGTAACAGTAAGATACAGGCATGAAAAGTTGCAGAGATGAGCATTGGTAAAAATAAAAGCGCTTTCTTTAAGAAGACTGAAGTTACTGAACCAAGGCCTTCTTGGTCCTGAGAGGGGAAAACTTTTTTCCCCTGTTGAAGCATTTGATGCTCCGGCTTGTATTTGCAATTCAGCTGGGCATAGGATTGGACATTGCTGATGCTGCACATACTACACATAATCACGTAAATCCTGCAGTGAACTGAGTAATGTATAACTTATCCTGGTTTAAAGTCTCTCAAAATTGAAAAATAGATTATATGGCAATTTTTTAATGTAGTTTTTTTCCTAACTGTTAAATTAATATAGAGCAGTTTTTACAGCACAGTCACAGGAAATTGCATTAACTTGAAGTTGATTGTAGAAGGATCCTAAATCTAGAGATAGGAATTCTACCAATACATTGAAAATGATCTTCCAGAACAGAGCCAGCTAAATCTTCAGATCAGGTGGGAGTAAAGGAACCATCAGAGGAAGGATATCTACTTTCTGTGTCTGAGTCAGGGAGAGTGAGTCTGTTGGGAGGGTTGAATTCTACTTTTGGTGTTGAGATATGCCTTTTCCATGTGAAAAAATGACCAAACTATTCTATTTATCTTTCCTTAAGGCGGTCAGCCCAGAAATGTGCAGCCTTTTAGCGATGAAGATGCTTCAATTGAAACTATGAGCCACTGCAGTGGTTTCAGTGATCCTGCTAGCTTCACTGAGGATGGTATATTTTTCTTTTTTATCTGTTTTTCTGTTCAAAAACAAAACCTGAATTGACTTAAGCAGTTTAGGTATTAGACTGTAAGTAGCAGTAGCACAGTAATGGTGTGATTGTTAATTTAGTGGCTGTTGGTTTTGTTTGGCAAGAATATACTCCAGGTTTCATAAGCCTCTCCTGAACTATTGGGCTTTTTTCTATTAAAATGATACAAGACTGACTTTTGGAGCCAATAAGAATTATCAGGTGAATTATAAGATTGATTTTCATAACACATAGTTGAGGTGTAAGGACTGCAGAAGAATTTGAGATGGAAAGATTTGCCTGTCTTGAACTAGATTTATGCTTCATCGCCTACCATCTCTGCAACCTGGACTGCTCTAATGTCATTTTTTGGGAGGAGGGGACCTGAAAGCCTGCTACAGGGGCATAAGGCAGGGAGGCTTCCCTGTAAATACTTGCTACTCTTAACAGAGCTGCTGTTGCAGAGGCATCTGAAGCGATGCCTTACAGGCCAGGCTGCTTAGACAGTACTTACTGCATCAACAGTGAACACCCCGCTGTACTCCAGGGGTAGGTGTAGTGCACTGCATGAAAATGTGTTGCTGTCAGGGTTGGCTGATGTGTGTCAGTTGTAGCAAATTTATGTAAGAGCTGATTAGCTTCCCTGTTCATTCCTGACACATCTAAGAAGCAGGTATAAAAACACCACAGATGTATCAATAGATCAATTTTTATAAAATTATTTTAAGGGGTAGTTTGTTGTAGGTATAACACCATTCTGTAGTGATTGTCTATGCTAAACTGCTTTTTTTTATTAGTGTTAAAAACATTTAACTGTTGGATACTACTGTGTATGCTGATAAAGTATGTAGAGCTAAATTATTTTCTCTGGATTAGGGCCTGAAATTGATGAAGAAGCCACTCAAGAAGACTTAGAATACAAATTGAAGGGATTTATTGATCTTACATTGGACAAGAGGTATAGTATGCTTTGAAGAAACACATTCATATATTGTTTACTGGTTTTCCTCTGATATCATAAGGGAAATATGCATCAAACTTCCTTATATGCTTACTGAAATGACAGTTATTTCATGCTGGGGAGGACTTGCTTTTCTTCTGGATCTAAAAAGACCTTTTTCCCTCTACAGAGTTTTTTGATAAGTGAGAGTCAGACTTCCCTTTCTTAATAGCTTTAAGTAGAGGGACTTTATTTCTAGCTTGGTATACTATTGTGAACTCTGTCTCCAACCTAAGTTTCTCTATCCTTGAGGAAGGAGGCAGTTCATAGCATCTAATACTTGATGATGCTTCTGTGGGTTGTTACTGTATTTGGCTGTATCCAATACAAGAAACTACCATAAAAAACAAAGGCTGAACTTTAACTGATGTATGCTGATTTCAGAATGTCTTCTTTCTCTCTTCTAACAGTGCAAAGACAAGACAAGCAGCTCTTGAAAGTCTGAAAAATGCTTTTTCTTCTAAAATACTATATGAATTTATCATGGAAAGGAGAATGACATTAACTGATAGCATTGAACGCTGCATTAAGAAAGGTAATTAACATGCTTGCTATTAGAAGGCAATGATCCCTATGAAATAGCTCATTGTTTAAAAGAAATTAAGACTGCGAGGCTTCTCTAGTACTTTAGAGTGCTTAATAATTTAGTTCTGTAACATTCCTTTTTCCTTTTTTATTTAGATGACATGTTTTACGCCACCTAGAAAATTAAGTTATTTTCTGTCTGTTGGTTTCTGCATTTCCTTTTGCAAGTTTTCAGACTATTATCTTTAAAGGGTTAAAGGATGGAAGCAATGCACAAGGTGATTCACTCATCATTGTATGTTAATCTTTAGGTAAGAGCGACGAACAGTGTGCAGCTGCTGGACTGGCATGTCTTCTGTGTGTGCAGATGGGGTCAGGAATTGAAAGTGAAGAGATTTTTAAGACCCTTGGTCCAGTTCTGAAGAAGATTGTCTGTGATGGGACAGCCAGTATCCAAGCCAGACAGGCTGTAAGTATGAAATGTTTATTTACCAGGCAGGGACAGAGGGCAGTTTTTGATCAGCTTGCTGTTGTGTAATCCAGAACTAAAGGCTATTACACTAGTATAAACTCAGAATGTTGACATATGTTCTGAATGATGTGTAGCAGTATTCATTGGCTTTAAAAGTTCCACATAAAGGTTGAAGAACATTATTCTCTTTTTCAACCGAGGAATTTCCTTAAAGAGCTGTTTGATCTAGTACTTTGTCAAGTGTCGTAACATAGTCTTTGTCTGAGGGCTGATGTTGGTGTCCTATAGAAAAAAAATAAAGGTATTCCCACTGACGTATGTCCTTCTTGTATTGATTTTAACAACTTTAACTGCAGAGGAATTTTACTTATGCAAATATATTTACATATGATAAAATTATATAGAGCAGATCTAGAACTAACTTGATACATTTGTCCTACCAAAGTATTTTTCCCAGTCATCTTATCTGTGCATTAGTGGTATACTTGAATTCCTGACTGATGGCAGTCTAAAACTCTTGCTAATATTTTTTTAAACTTTAGAGTTTTAACTAATACTCTCCAATTTGCCTTTATCGTTACATAGCCGGCTACTTCTGTTATACTCAAGCTGTGTTACAATAGATACTATTAGCTGGAAGAGGAGGAAGTATCAGTCCAATAGCAGTTATTTTTGCAAGCAAACAAAAGCTACTGAAGCTTCTCCTGTTTCAAGTGTAGTTTTGACTCCTGTGTGGTTAGTGCAAACATCACTTTCAAACACTTTTTTCTTTCTCTTTGTAGGAGGAGACAGAGTAGAATATGGGGGATAGGGAAGAGATGTGTGGGACACTGCAGCAATAGTTAGGAAGTTCCAGGAAAGGCTCTTGAAGTCCAGTGTTTTCATGCCATTTAATTATATTAGAGAGCAGAAAAGGGAAAATACTTTCCCACAGATGTGAGTAAATATCATGTGTTCATTACTGATTATCAGCATAATTTCTGCTGGCTCAATCCTAGTGGGATCTAGAAGAATTGGGTGAAAGGAGTGCTACATGTCAGTTTTGTAAGTTAAATAAAACGGCATAAAAAGTGAAGGTTTGTGAGTAGCATGTGTTGTAAAATCACCCTGAGAGTAGACAGGAGCCAAGAGCTATGCCCTGGCGGCTGGGCTTAAACCAAGACAAGCTACTACAAAATAGCTGAATTAAACAGTATTGAAGACTTCTACTCTGCTAAAGTTTTAATCTCAAATTTCTGTTACTCCAGATGTGAAATTTCAATGGTTAAAGTTTTCTCAAACGGTATCGTTAATGTCAAATACTGATGCTTTTTTCTTTGTGTCTAGTGTGCAACCTGCTTAGGGATTTGCTGTTTCATTGTCACTGATGACATTACGGTAAGGATTAATACTTCTTTGGTTTTAATACATTGACAATATGAAAATGTGTGAATCTTAAACCATTTCTATTACGTTTTTTCTCCTGTTCAGGAACTGTACTCTACTATGGAATGCCTGGAAAATATCTTCATAAAGGCCTATCAGAGAGATAGAGACGCTAATGGTGTATCGAGTACGCATAACACTGTGCTTCACATCAGTGCTCTATTAGCATGGACACTGTTGTTGACCATTTGTCCAATGAATGAAGTGAAGAAGAAAATTGAAATGTGAGTGTCTATCCTGGAAAACAAAATTTGCAATGACTGCTTTTATACGCTGTGAAGCAGGGTCAACAAAATTAACATCTTAATGAAATGTGACTTTCTCCTTAGGCACTTGCATAAACTTCCAAGTCTGCTGTCTTGTGATGATCTCAGCATGAGAATAGCTGCTGGAGAAACCCTAGCCCTTCTGTTTGAATTGGCACGCGAAACAGATGCTGTAAGTAGATGTCAGCAGCTCCGTTTTCTTGCAGTGGGATGATAAGACAAATTATTTAACCTGTGCTGCATCTCAACAAGTGGCAGACAATTTGCTGGTTAATGTTGTTTGTAGAGAGTCTGTTCCAATCTAAGTGGGTATGACAATGATTCACAGCTATTTAGCTAGCATTTTTACACCTACTTCCACATTGCAAAATGGGACCAGTATAACAAAACACATGAAACAGTACTGATGAGCAGTTAGAAATGTAGCATGTAAGCTTTAAAATATAAATCCAAAACCAGCTTTAAAAAAAAAAAAAGGCCAAAAAAACCCCCAAATCTGTTTACTGTAGTGGGGACATTCATTAGACAAGTTCCAGTGATTCATAACATGCACAATTCCTCTCTCACGGCTAAAAATCTGTTCTTGAGTAGAAATCACATTGACTTTCAGTATTGTGTTTACAGTATCCTTATTTAGGTACATTGAAAAGAAGAACTATTATTGCATGATGGTTTTGTAGCATTTGTGACAATTTTAGTCAGTTGGCGACTAGTCAGTCTATTTAAGGGGAAAGATTTTGAAAGGAGTTGCATGGCTAAACATGCCTTTACGTTCTTCAGTATGTCTTACTAATTTCTGAACTGCTTTCTTGACAGCAGTGAATGAAATAGCCTCTACTTACTCCCATGGCACAGCTTGGGAGAGCTGCCTGAATGGCTTCTAGCTTGAACCGGATGGGCTTTTTCAGAACACTGTCCAAAGTGAAATGATAACTCCAGTTGAGTCAGGATACGTGACACACTTAACGCTGCATAATCTGAAACAATATGCTGAGACTTGCGTATAATTGCAGACAGTAGAGATTTGAGTCTCTTGGCTGTGGAAGCCAACTTCGAAAGATAACAAAAATAATAGAGGCAGAATTTGATCCTTTATTTGGTCACATTGACTGCAAGTAACTAAAACCTTAAAATATGTTAATGAATGAGACTATTCACTAAAAATTTCTTTGGTTCCATAGAAGAAAATGGAAAAAAATAATTACAATAATTGCAAAGTGTTCTCTTTGGATCCTTAATGATCAGCACAGATTAAAAATGCTTACTGTGTTTTGCCTTTGACCAGTTTCTTTCAAAAAGCATGCAGTAACCTCAGCCTGGTCAGTTCACATGACAAGACCATCAGCTGTAAAAAAAAAAAAAAAATTACAGAAACTTGTTTTTATGTAAGTTTACATACGTCCTTACTAACCTGGGTAAACTGCTGCTGGATTAGTAAGTGGAGGGGAGAAAATATTTCCTGCTAAACAACTGTGCATTGAAGTTTACTTAAAGTGGGGTTTTTTAAGTGGTTTTTTTGTTTTTGTTTTTTCAAAAACTACTTTCTAATTCCTCCTTCCCTCCTCCCATACAAGACTTAGGACTGAACATTCTGTACTGTCAGTATAATGGTGTCTCATGATCCATCTCCAGCAGCATGAATTCTGTGCTGATGACCTGAAAATGCCTGCAGCTTGTTGACAGGAATGGCAGCCAGGTTCAACAGATCAGTTAGGCAGTTTGAGTCCGATGGAGTTATGGAGTGGAACAGATTGACAGGTATATATGCAACACTGAAGGAGCTGTACTGTTTCATGTGGCTCTGGCTACCAGGGTAGAGTTTGATAGTGTCCTGCTTGTAAAGTGAATGCTGTGACTTTGTTCTTACTGGCTTAAATGCTGCAAATGAAACTGCAGGAAGCTAGTGTTGTCTCCATCTCTTTAAATAATAAAGTAACAGGTTGTAGAGGTCCACGTGCCCAGAATTTGGAGAGATCCATTTTCCTATTTGCAGGGAAAGACGTTGAGGCCAGAAACTAAAAAGTGTTTTGTTATGTTTGTTTGGGTTTTTTTACTAGGATTTCTTTTATGAAGATATGGAACTTCTAACAGAGAAACTAAGAGCTCTGGCTACTGATGGAAACAAGCACCGAGCCAAAGTAGATAAAAGAAAACAGCGATCTGTTTTCAGAGATGTTCTACGAGCTGTTGAGGTGATTCTTTTGTCTTTCTTTACATGCCTGGATCTTAACTGTGTAGTGTACAATTTAATGAAAATGCTTTTATTATTAAATAGAATTGCTGTTTCAGTAAGAGCAACAGGAACAAATTATTTTAAAGGAGATTTCAAATTCTGATCACTTACCTGAAATATAAATACTTTTTTGGGAACATAGAACGTAAGTTTTTATTTATTTTACTTCAAGCTTGACTTCCATATTTCTTTAAAGAAAGTTAAACATTGCACTCTAAATACTAAATTCTTATTTTATACCACAAGCAGATTTGTTTTGCATAGAAAACTTTGTAGGACATCCAAATTAGTGTCCTGAATTCTGTGAAAAGGTTCATTCTAAAATGTGCTACTGAACTGCTCTGCATAATAAACAAAAAACAACTTGGTAGTAAAATACATTTCCAACTGGCCCCTCTGTCAGGGGCCAAAGAAGTATGTGTGTGTGTGTGTTGTCACTGTCCTAATTGTGCTGTAATCTTCTGGTTTTCCATATCCAAATTGAGAACAATACACAAAGCAGGACTCTCAATATTTCTGGTTGTGACATGTCTTAGAGGCTTCACTCAAATGTCAGATTTCTGTCGCTTCAGGGGGTTATTTATTTCACACCGCTCTCACTAGATTTTTTTTTTTTTTTTTTTTTTGCTTGTCAGATAATTACTTTTTACATAGTTGTATGGATAAGACCAACTATTAGTTGACATTCAGAACACTTAAAAATCTCAGAAGCTAAGGAGAAGGCTTTGAAGTGATTTGGAGTCACTTTTGAGATTCTGCCTGTAGAAGAGTCCGAGTCACTTATTAGCACTTGTTACATTCCATTTTCACGAATGTAGCTCACAGCATTTGAAAGGTGGGGACCAAATGCGGTTTACACACTGACTTTAAGGTCACTGCTGAACTTGGAACTCGCTTTTCTGGAGATTCTGGAGTCCAATTCTTAAAGTCATTTTCAAGATGAAAGTCAAGTGTTCTTCTTTAAAATGCTTCCTGACTTGAAGAATGTCAGCTTCAAGTCTTACATGGGATTTAACTTTAGGTTAAACTTCTCATCAGTTTATATAAACACAATGTTTATACACATGTATTATTTGGAAGGTTATTAAAATTATATATGTTGTTTCCTTTAATTTTGGTTAGGAGCGTGACTTTCCTACAGAGATGGTTAAGTTTGGACCTGAGCGCATGTATATTGACTGCTGGGTTAAAAAACAAACTTATGATACCTTCAAGGAGATTCTGGGGTCGGGGATGCAGTATCATTTGCAGGTGAGCTGCTGTTTGATAGATGCTCAGACTGTTGTTCCCTGTCTGGCTTCTTTGTAGTAATTCAGTCTGAATTATGAAATCATGAGTAGAACTTGGTAAAATGATGAGCTTTGCATTAGAAGTGTTAAAAGATAGCACTTAGAAAATGAACTAGTGAGCTGCTTCTGAGTTGTAGCCTGGGTGTGCTGGGTTAGCAATTAGAAGGCTTCTCCGAGAAGTCAGAGATTCAAGCTGAATACCTTCTTAGCTTCAGGGTTTTTTCTGAATCTCTATGCTCTCTTTCAGCAGAGTGGTGTAGTTGGCTGGCTGTTCAAAGCTGCATTCCTCCACCCTTCCTAGTCAAGCCTGTAAAAAGGAATACAAAGTTTTAGTCAAAAATAATGAACACAACTTGCAGACCAATGATGACAGCATTCCAGAAGGGAAAGAATAAGTCCTTACCTCTGTTCTAGTAACTGTTTGCTTACTAGTCATCTGTTCAGGTAGCAGAAACAGGAACTGTAGCTTGGGGTACACACTCCCAAATTGCTATGATAATCATGGGGTTAAAATCTTCAGTCCGGTGCCAGTTGATTTTCAAGGTGACTGAGGGACACCTATCTCAAGAGGGCAGTTGTAGTTCTTAGCCTTTTTCTGATGAAAGGAAGTGTTCCCTGGCTTAATTGCAAAAGATACTAAGATTTGTGTCAAATTGCCGCTATTTCTTACTGGAATACTTGATATTAACAGTAATCTTTGGAGACTTGATAATCAGAGGAGAAACTGATTGTTTGATGTGTTTCTTGTTTAGTCAAATGACTTTCTTCGGAATGTGTTTGAGCTTGGTCCACCAGTAATGCTAGATGCTGCAACTCTTAAAACAATGAAGATATCCCGTTTTGAAAGGGTACGTTCTTGCACTTTAATGTTCATACACTAATACATTTCTCTTGAATTAAACAGTATTCCAAACACACACTTGAGAAGCTGTCATATTTAATGTGTCACTTTAGAACTAACAGTATCCTATACTGGCCTGAATGAAACCTAACCTTGCTTGCTGGGTATCTTTGAGCTCTTATTTTAGCTCTTCCACTGAGCATGTGTCTGCTACTGCTTTTTCTGCCAAGGGAGTCTGGAGGTTGACGTGGTTGCTGACTGGTACCAGATTCATGCTCTATATGTGTGGAACTAGGGCTCTAAGGAAAGTCATAGGTTTTTGGGCAGGGTCCTACAGGAAACAATAGAAACTGAGTCTTAATACACAGATCCCAAACTCTGCAGCATGAAAGGGACACTGGGAGGATGGTAATGGCTTTATTCTGTTGGTTGTGAGTGTACTCATCCCTGTACAAACCATTTGTGAATGGTTTAAATCCAAGTTTAATCTGTGGGCAAACTCAGTCTACGTTGTGCCTGTGTGGTGTTCAAGACTGACTGGCTTCCAGGATTGCTCCTAGCTCAGCCTTTCTTAATACAATCCAAGTTTGTTTAAAATGTGTATATGAATCTGTCTTTGGTGCACAAAGATATTATACTATGAATTTCAGAATTTGTTCAAAGATTAATAAAAATTTATTTCAAGCTGTTTCTTAACATGAAAAAATATCTCTGAAGTTCATAGCTTTTTGACATCTGTGATTAATGTTTTCCTTTTATTTTGCAGCACTTGTACAACTCTGCAGCATTCAAGGCTCGGACAAAGGCTAGAAGTAAATGTCGTGATAAAAGAGCAGATGTGGGGGAGTTTTTCTAGATCTCCTTTTCCATAGCTTTCAGTTTTCATAATTGAAATGCATTTTTAACCTTTAAATGATTTTTTTTTTTTTTAATTTCTGTAGTGAGTTTACACTTGTGCACAGGGATGTTGTATAAAGTCTGTAAATACAGTGCATGTTGCTTAGTTACATATAGGCTGTACATAGATGGGTGTAATGTGGGGTGCAGGGGTACATTGTAACACTAGCATTAGATGCAACTTGCTCCAACGTCTGAATATGTTGTTACTGAACTGTTCAGTGGGGTGGATAACTGTAGTCAAATGCCCCTTATCAGATGGGATTCCTTACCATATATCAAGGCAAACTAAATTAGTTCACAGGCCAAGTGTTTTGGTAGGAATGTGCTAATATGAAAAGATAAACCTGTTCATGTGAAGTTACTTTAGTAACTTTTTAAACTCCTCTGGCTGGCAGGTGTACAAAGAAATTTCTGCATAGTGGGACTATCTTACGATGTTCCGTTACCTTCACTTACAGTGAAGTACTAAATGACAGATGCTTGCCTCAATGTAAAATAAACCCAAGATTCTTGTGTTCTGAAATTGGAAGTTTAATTTTTGGAATAAAATTGTTTCTTGTTGCTTGCTTTCTGTGTAAAAGTGATTACTACATGAATGAAAAGCTGGAACACCAGCACCAGCTGAAGGTTGAAACAGATGGGTTAATTTGCCCATTCAGCAGTGCAGTTGGGTTAAGTCTCCTTGCTTTACTAGATGCTACGTGAAACTGCCTTGCTGTGTTTTGAAGGTGTATGATCTACATAGGGTCTGCACAACAGCCTACTGTAGACTTGTCATCACTTTTCTCAGGGTGAAATGTATTCTAGTTCTGGTAGTGGACAACACCTTCTCCCTTATCTTACCAGAGCCATTCCAGCTGCCCTGCTTTCGACACGGTATAAAGCTACTTCCTACCCTCTGTTTCTGGCTCTAGAGCACTGAAATCTGCCTGTAACTGAGAACTGTGTTATAGGGGTGGGGGGTTGTAATGTAATAAAGACACTAAATCCCAGCTAGCTTCAGCTTCTGAACCAGCAGATCTGTCAATGAAAGTGCTTGTTAAAAATAAACATTCTTAGAAGTGTAAGTCAAGTTATCAGCAGAGGAAATAAACCTCACACCTCAAAAACAACCCCACCCTGCACCCTAAAAACTACTGCTTGCTCTGATAAGGGCTTTTTGCATTGGGGTTTGGTTGTGGTGGTTTTTTGGTGTGGGTTTTTTTTGGGGGGGGGGTTTGTTTTTTGTTTTTTTTTTTTTTAATTTTTTTTTTAGTTTCAGATTATAGCAGAACCTGTTCCAGAAACCGCATACATGCCAATCAGTTGTACCTTCTAACTTATTTCACTGCAAAGAATGCATTATGTAAGAACTTGTTTGGCTTACAAAACCGATTCTGTAGACTACAAGAAGGCCTTCAGCTGAGGTCTCTGCTATTACTGACATGTGCTATCAGTGTTTTTCATGCAAGTGGAGAAGAAACTTCTGATCCTTGAGCTAGACGAAGCTGCCTTTGTTTTCCCAGGCTGTGTTCCCACAAGCCTGGTGGTCTCTGCCCTAGCTGCTGGGAACTGCCTTTGGCTTCCTTCGTTCATGTAAAGCAGCACTTCTGATAGCTTCCTGTCCTGGCAGTGTTTTCCAGTGCTTTCCACAGGAAAGCCTGGCAGGTGGCCCAGCACATGGTTGCCCTTTCCCCCATTACCCTGCTGCTGCCAACCTCAGAGACCAGGATGGCTTCCAAGGCTGGCTGAGGGGGGATGGGCCTCTTTGCTGCCATGTATGCTCTGATGGGTTTGTAGACCTTGTCCAGCTTTGGACTGCAGAGACCTGGGTCCTTGTCTTACAATTCAGGATGGTGTTGGGAATCTTTTGGGGATGGAGGTGAGAGTTTTTCCCTGGCTTTCACATCCTTGCTAGCAGGCCCGTGCAGAAAGGGAGCAAGCCCATTACATCTGCATTACTGGCCCAGTTACTTGGACTGGGTAGCAGCAGAGCTTGTCAGCTTGAGGTGGGAACTGTGAGTCAGAAGATGTATTCTCTTGTTTCCTGAAAGAAAAACACTTTGTCAGCTTAAAGGATTCAAAATGTTATATGTATAGGATGACTTCAGACAGAGATTGTTGTTTCAGGCTGTGGTGCCTTCGTATGAGTGTCAGCTGCCTGTCACTGCAGTGTGCTGTAACATCACGTTTGGCGATGTCGGCGAGAAGAAAATGTGATCACAAGAACTGTCTGCGAAGGAGCAGTTACCAGTGCTCACAACACAGCTCATCAGAATCTGATCTTTAAACAACTAGCGATGTCGTACAAATTAGTCCATCCCATAATACTCTCCCACTTGAACTGGTAAGGTGTGGGGGAGAAGGAGGAAAATACCCTGGGTTTTTCTAGCCTATGCCTTTAATGTACTCACGTCTGCAATACTGTAGATAAGACTCTTCTGCATAGCAAACAAGTTAATCATAGCTATGGTGTGGTAGCTATGACTCTTCTGCGTAGCAAATGAGTTTTGGAAAGGCACCATAAACCAAAAGGTTAGTTAAATATTGATCATCAGTAACAAGCCTTCTCATTTTCCATGATGGGGTATTATGATGATGATTCCAATATAATAAAAAAGAACTGTGTGTGTGCTGATTCCTTTATAAACAGATCGATACTGTGAAGTCAGCATACTTAGCCAAGATGAACTCTAAATATAGACTGAAAGGGACAGGCTGTTTCATAGCTGCCTCCATGGGTCCTGCCGGGGTTAACAGCTTCCTATGGCTCTAAAAGTAGAGAAAAAACAGCAGAACAAGTGGTGATTTTCACTGGCTGATCTCTTCCGTACTGGCACATTACCTGAACATAGTTATGTTGTAAGTAATGTTTCACTCTCCTGCTTTTTAATTCCTTTTAATTTCCTTTCTTTCTGTGAAGAATTTCAGTGTGTTCTTATTCTAATTTTACCAGAACAGCTTAAGAAGAAATTTAGAAGTCACATGGGGAAAAAAGTCTTTAAGCAAGGTTAAAGTACAAGATAGAGTGACTCAAAAAAACCCAGTGTGTAATTAGTTTGTTGGGAAAATAAAATTTTGGCCAGTGACACTGATGTCTCTATCCTCTCTCCTTTGTTCAGCATGTCAATAGAATCAAACAAATGTAATCTAGACTTTGTTGAATTAATAATGGTTATCTTCACTGTGATTACATGCACAGTGAGGAAATCAGTTTTAAAATAATAATGAATGCAGAAACATAATTCATAATATTAATGAATCAAAAGTACTCACGTTTATTACCACTCAAGCTGTTAAGAAGAGTCTTCCCTGAAGTTGCAGGGAGGTACTAATCAAAATGCTCAAGAGAAACAACTGCTCTTTGGAAGCTAAAAATAACCAAAAGCCTCTGTGCCACGAGGTGGTAACTTAGCACACCACTGTTGAAACACAGGGCTCCCTAATGATGGCAGCTGGCCACGGATGTGCTTGTGGGGAGACAGCAGAGCCAGCGCTGGTGGGGATGTGGTTTACAGACCGTGCTGCTTGGCATCATGCGGCAACCTAGGGGAAAGGCAGTGGATACAGCCATCTGTGTTGAAACTACTGCTGGACACCTAAAAATCATACTCTTGGTAAGGGTGACCACTGCTGTGCCAGCTTTCTGCCTTATCTGTGTATTTTGCAGGAACAATTCTGAACAGACAAAAAGATGAAGCTGCAGTCTTTCCTTACACTCTATTAAGGAGAAATATGAAAGAGTACATGTAGGCCTGTCAATCTCCACTATCAGGCAAATAGGCGAGTAAGACCTATTGTCAGGCACGATTTAAGCACTTAGTCTTCATACTTAGGCTTAGTGAATGTTTATGTGGCTGTGTGCTCCAGTCTGGGGGAATTGCAACAATCTTCTGTATTTGGTTGATGAGGGGAGGAGTGGGTCTTTTCTCTAAACACTCGGGGCTGTTCCTCAAACTTCAGGTTTTTAACTTAAGCACTATGTTAGGAAGCTGGGCACATTGCATTCTCTATTGCTTGGAGAGGGAGAGAGGGCTCAGATGCCTGTCAAGAGGGCAGTTCAGCACAGCTGGGATTCAGAAGTCACCCTTAGGGGCTTAACACCCTCCACCAACAGGAGGTTCACACCCTATGAAGTGCTAAGTTACGTTTAGCAGGTAAAACTGACCTTAAGAGCTTTGATAAAATACTAAATAGGTAAGATGTATTTGACTCCAAGTCTAAACTAATCTCTGTGAGTTCCCCCCTTACATTCACTAGCAAGAGAAAGGCACCTTTAGGCTCTGGCTGTAAGGGCAGAAAGACATGTCTTATTCTAAGAGGAATATTACCCAGAGGTGTGTATTTTCCTTCAAAAATTACATATAAAGTTTTCAGTGGCCAGTGTCGTCTAAGGCACCTAGTTAGAGCACCTGCATCTCCTCTGGCTAGAAATGTAGCTTGTTACTAGAAGACATTTTTGGAGTAAGGGTGTCCTGATTTCAGCATAAAGAAAACCAAAAGACTTGTTAAGGAATAACGTGCAAATCATAGAGCAGCCTGCTTAGGTATTGCTTCTTTTCTATATATAATCTTCCTTTATAACTGCATTTATATAAACAATCATTCAATGAGTTCATGCACCCAGACTCTGCTGAGAAGTGCTGATTAGGCACCACCCAGTGCTTTTTTTAAAGCACTGAGTATTAGTCTGAAAAAAAGACTTTCCCACCAGGCTTTAATTTGTTCAAAACTAGCATCTATGTGGAGTAGAACCACATTTGAAGACCATTTTTTGCTCCATTTTCCACAAATAATAACTTCACGGTGACATTCTAAGCAGAGGACCTCAGTGACATCTTTCGTGCCCGTGTCAGTGAAGGTTTGGCTTTCACTGTGGTCAGGTTATCACCCTACATCTTGCCAAGTACACACCAGTACATAACTAAAGTCAAATGAATTGTGAAACCTGCCAAATAGATTTTTCTGTCTCTCTCCTTCACACACATACATAAGTATATGTATGCGTAAGTATGTGCACGTGTGCAGAAACACAATGCAGAAATGAAATCTTATACTCATCAAAGATCTCCAAGAATAAACAACTGCTATGTACTGACTTACCCTTGCCTTTGAGACCTAGTAAGTATGCTGGTCCTTCAAATCCCTTTATTTTGAAGGTTGTTAAGACTGCTCAGCACTTCCTTAGAACAGGACACCAACTGTTACCAGTTATTTCCTCTATCCATCTTTTAATTCACTTTTTTAATTATTAGTTCTTTTAGACACAATGGAGAGGCCTTCCTTGGAAATTAACCTGTCCGATACTCAGGAAGAAGGGAAACTTTATGTAGTTGATTCCTTAAACAACCTAAACAAACTGAATGTTTGTCCAGATGGAGCCCAACATGTGCTAGGTACGTATAACAGGCGATGCTCTGTGGTTTTCTGTACATACAACAGGCCATCAAAAAGAGTTATGAATGACATTTGAAAAGGCTGATCTTATTGTGTATCACTGCTGTCAGCAGCCCAGTAGGCCAATATATATGTCAAGGTCTGTACTGAAAAATGTAAGAAGATTGAAAACGGTGTAATTTAGTTCAGATTAATGGTTTAGCTGCTCCTACTGAGTATTTAAGTTATCAGGTTCTTGAAAATCCTTGCATTTGGCTAGGGATTCACTGTCAAGCCTGGATTTATCTTCCATTTCAACTGGGATTCGTAAGGTGATCCCTTGCAGGATAATGTCTCTAGTAATGCTCTGTATACACCTACTACATAAATAGCATTGCAACTCTTCACAAGCAGTAAATTCACACATGGCAATAGAAACAACAGAGAAAATCTGTTCATTCTTTTGAGACGCATCTCCTAAGGAGTCAAACCTGTTATGTGAAATTTCCCATGAGACTTTTAAGCATTTAAATTTGCAGAGTTTCTTCACTTACAGTTTCAGTTATGGTCTCTCACACTTCTGCTGGTTTTACACGGCTTTTATCTTTGATTTCTCATGGCAACAAGAGTATTTTCACTCAGTAATAGCTACAATATATTTGACTTATGATATATTCTGCATTGTTTCCTGAAGCTAGAAGCATTTTCTCGTGTTTATCCTAACCAACCTTAACAAACTTTATCACCAAATAATTTGTCATCTCATAATAGATGAGGAAGAGGACATCAGTGCTACTGAAGAAAACATGGCAGGGAGCAACATAAGAAACCAGCGTTTGTTCTTCGTCACTTTCATTCTTACTTTGATCGTTAGTTTGGCACTTGTTTCATTCGTAATATTCATAATAAGTGAGTAAACTAAAGAGTGGTTCTTAAAGGGCAAAGGAGAAGAACTTTGCTGAAATGTGTCATGCTACCGTATAACATGCTACTGCTGTATCTGCATGGTCAAAGGCTTTGGCTGGATATGGGCAGGGGGTCTTGGTACTGGGTGCAAAACCACAGGTCTCTAATCTGTGAGCTAGAATGCACAATTTTCTTCTTAGTGCAAAGGTTTTGTGAGCTTCAACAGCTATGAAGAATTCAGCTCAGCAGGGTTACAGCGTGTTGCTAAAAATGCTGACTGGAAACTGAATTTTAAAGATGACTGTATGGCAGTGAGATACTCTGACAACATGCCTTCCATTCCTTTCCAAATAAAACTCAGTATTGGTGTCATTCCACTGCAACCGGAATTACACCCAGGCTACCTGGATAAGGATCTGAAGGTTGCCAGCTAAATACTGACTGGAAATTGGTCTGGAACTACAAAAATCTCAAACATAAGAACCAAAAAATTTGATAAGATGTATTAAGTCTGTAGATGAAGTTACTGTTCTGCTTCAGCTGGGCTGCTTGGGCTGGCTTAACTAAACACGTGGCTACAGGTGACTGCTTTATGGAGCCCTTGCCATCTTGGGGTTTTCTGGGCTAATGGTAATGAACAGAGTATGAGATACATTATTTTAACTTACACGTTTATTTTCAATGAATTGGAATCCACATGAAATCAAGATTTCTTTTATCCTATAGTAGGGGATTCACTGGGGCATAGCAAAAATCCTCATTTTCCTTATCGAGTACTTGTGCACAAACGCTCAAAGAACAGAGTAGCAGACAAGTAAAGAGCACAAAGGAGATTTTAAGTGGCATAATTGTAAAACCCTAATTAAAATACCTCATACTTGAATTCCAAATTTATTTAGTGGGGAACTGCTAAAAGTAGAGCCCCGGTATAGAAAAATGAGTAATGTGTCCCTCTAGTGGAAGCTTGGTAAAGTAATAGTGAAAAGGCTACTTTCAGGGGTTAAAGGAGTTTGGTTGGGCTCAGGTTTTTGAAACTGATTTCCAGTAGTGTTTCAGATAATGTTACAGTCCATAGACAGATTTTTTTAGCATTGGCACTATTAGTTTAAGTTTCAAAAGATGAGTAAATTTTGTTAACTTCAGAAGGCTCCAGAAAATAAAAATAAAAATAAAAAAAATAAATATCCAAGATCCAGAGGGACCTTGACAAGCTTGTGAGGTGGGCTGATGGCAACCTTATCAGGTTTAATCAAGCCAAGTGCAAGGTCCTACACCTGGGTCAGCACAACTGTCAGGCACAGCTACAGGCTGGGTGGAGAACAGATTCAGAGCAGCCCTGTGGAGAAGGACTTGGGGGTGGTGGTTGATGAGAAACTGAACATGGGCCACCTTCAGTGTGCGCTCACAGCCCAGAAACCAACCGTGTCCTGGGCTGCATCAAAAGAAGCATGACCAGCAGGTCAAAGGAGCTGATCCTGCCCCTCTACTCTGCTGCGCCCTC